GAAAAGTACTAGGTTTTTTTTGTCCAATCGGAAGAATAAAGGCGACTTTAACGCCATGAACGTGGTAGAACTTAAAAAATATTTGTAGGAACGTGGAGTTTCAGTAGGGTCTCTGTAAAACGTAGACCGGAGAGTTTTTTTTGGCGGATGCGGATAGAAAAATGCGGATGAAAAATTGCGGATGGAAAAATGCGTTTTTTTAAAAAATCGGTTGGAAAAAACAAAACAAAACAAAAACATGAAACATGTCATTATTTTTTTACCCCGCTATGTCGAACTCGGTTAAATTCAAGTCCCGCTATTTCGAACAAAAATTTTTTTCCCTCGGATTTACCCATGTTCTACTGCTAAAACACCAAAATAGCGCTAACTCGTTTTTTTCGCTTCAAATTGGCCTGAGACGCTGGTAATCAACAAAGAATACAACAAGGCAATGAGGTAAGTCAATTTTATTTCAAAACATGACATTTTTTCTCTCTTTTAAGGTAAACCGATTTTTTTTCATACAAACCTTTATATAACCAATTGTACAACACTGCAAGAGTCACGTCCGCTTTTTTTGTAGTGAGCTTGGGCTGCCTGTGTCACAATACAAATCAATCAACGCTCTCGTTCATGAAACGCTGCCACTCTTTCATGTTGACGCCTGCCATGATGGAAGTCGTGGTGGAAAGTTCTGGTTCAGAGAGCGGGGAGTTGCCTGTTTTTGAGATCACATGGTGAGTTACTGTTACACTAATTGGTTTGTCATTTTCAATTTGGCTGGTGCTTTCTAACTTCCTGAGCAAACTGCATCCTTTTAAATCTGCGATTTGTATTTTTCCGATTTGCCGGAGTGAGAACACAACATGGAAAGAGATAGGACGTAGTGTGTCTTGACTTTATATCTACAAATCTCTATTTTTCTACTCGAGTTTTTTTTGAGTCTTGTTGAATAGAGGTTTTACCAAAGAGTTTATATTTTTAAGCTTTAATTTTTTTATATGCTGCCTCGGCTTGTGTCTGCATTTTCTCGTTTTATTCTTACTATTTTGTTTTTTTCACAATTTTTTTCCATCCGTCGTTTACAATCCGAAGAATTCTTGGAAGGACCACTGGGACAGAGAGCGGCGAGGGAAAGGCGGATCTTTTTGTAGATCAGGATCAGCGATACAAAGTAATATATTTGAAGTTGAAAGCAAGGCTGATCGGACAGATGTGGATTTTTTAAAATATTTTTTTTTAGCCCAATATTTCGACTAGACAAAACTAGTCTTCCAACGAAAACTAAGTAAGAATGGAAAAGACGGTAACAGTATAAAAAAAAAATACAAAACTGAGAAGTAAAATATGATAGGGGGAGGAATACAATAGAAAAAAAACAAGTATAAAGAGGCATCATAAAAATACACATCTTTTTTTTAAATTTCATCGCCTCGGTTCATTCCATAGGGTCTTTCTCTGTCTGAATTAATTTTTTTTAATGGGATGAGTTCTATGTCTTTAATGGAATGATCTGGAAGGAAAAAGTGAGAAAATTAAAGTGGGAAAAGTTTACAATCCGCCCGGTCCACGTTTTACAGACACTCTTTATAATCGAACCGGCCTCACTATTTCGAAGCTACAAGGGAAATAGAAAAAGTTCGAGATAGCGGGCTTTCGAAATAACACCGGGGAAACGTAAAAGGAAGGGTAAATCCTAGGGAAATCGATTTTTGTTCGAAAAAGCGGGACTTGGGACTTGAATTTAACCGAGTTCGACATAGCGGGGTTCGACTGTAATGACATGTTTAATGTTGTTCTTTTTTTCCAACCGATTTTTTTTTCTAACCGCATTTTTCCATCCGTAATTTTTCATCCGCATTTTTCTATTCGCATCCGCCATCCGCATCTATCCGGTCCGCGTTTTACAGAGACCCGTCTTCAGATGTTCCTGTTCGATATGATCAAAATAAGGTCAATATAGGGAAGCGTAATTTAAATTGCGTTAGTTGTGATTTTATAGATGTAAAATATACTGATGATAATAAATGATGTGAATTAGTGTATTGCTTGTACGTTCATAAGAAAAAAAAATGGCAGTTCCGCAAATAAAACAATCCCACTCAGTCTCGTGTGGTATTAACCAGTTGATCTGTATGCAAATGACTTTTTCTATTTTCGCGCAATTCAGGCATGATTACTTAGCGCCTAAAGAATGAATTCTTTTCAACTTCCTGTCTACGATATAATCATGATTTTGAACAGACCCTTTTGCACATTTTATTTCTTCAAAAAAGTAGCTCACAAGGTTTTTTGATACTAAAACCATTGGTTTTTTTTTAAGGAGGAGCAATTCGAGTGCAAAAGAAATTTAGTTATGGAGCTCCCGGATGTTTTTTTTAATTTGTTTCAACTTGTTGGTAATCAATTGAATTTATAAAACTCTCATTAAATTTTTTTCTATCCACGAGTTTCAGAGAACTATAATTAGTTTACACTAAACGGTGTTTCCCACCCATGAAATACTAAATTCTAAACAAAATTCTAAATTCTTTCGAGTGCAAAAGAAATTTATGGAGCTACCGGATGCAAGCAGTAATTTGTTTCAACTTGTTGGTAATCAATTGAATTTATAAAACTCTAATTAAATTTTTT